GTAAAAGAACAAAAGCTAAATTAATAATGTAGGAGTATAGAAAAATCTTTTTTAAAAAATATTTATTTATTCATTATATATACAGTGTTCTGAAGGCTAGAAGAGGGCACCAGATCTTACTACAGATGGTTGTGAGCCATCATGTGGTTGCTGGAATTGAACTCAGAACCTCTGGAACAGCAGGCAGTACTCCTAACCTCTGAGCAATCTCTCCAGCCCCTAGAAAAACCTTAGAATGTCATTAAGACTAGCAGCTACCCACATCTGTTATCAAGAACTCAGTCCTTTCTTCAGCTCTCCTCTCCCCACTTCACCCACCCGAGTCAGGATTTTGCTGTGGCCCAGGGTGGCTGCAAATTCCAAATCTTCTGGCCTAGCTGGCCTCAGTAGCTAGCCAAGTGCTACAATTTTAGAGCTGGGTATCATATGCAGGCAGATGTTTCTTTTTAATGAATCGACAATAACATTTTAAAATTTCTGAAATGGCCAACAGACCATAGAAAGACATTTTTTTAGGCACCTGCTTGAAACCAACAGCTTCAGCAAACTAATGGCCTTGATTCAGGGCCAACCAGGCTGACTTTGAACTCAGAGATCCACCTGCCTCTGCCTTCTGATTGCTAAGATTAAAAGTGTGTGCCACCACCAGGCTATAGCTGTTTTTTTTTTTTTTTTAGATTTATTATTTGTTTTATGTATGAGTGTTCTGTCTGCATATACAACACAACTTTATGCCAGAAGAGGGCACCAGATCCCACTAGAGATGGTTGTGAGCCACCATGTGGGTGCTTGGAATTGAACTCAGGACTCTTAACTGTTGAACCATCTCTCCAACAGTTTTTTGTTTGTTTGTTTGTTTGTGGGTTTTGTTTGTTTGTTTGTTTGTTTTGAGACAGGGTTTCTCTGTGGCTTTTTGGAGCCTGTCCTGGAACTAGCTCTGTAGACCAGGCTGGCCTCGAACTCAAAAAGATCCGCCTGCCTCTGCCTCCCGAGTGCTGGGATTAAAGGTTTGCGCCACCACCGCCCGGCTCCAGCCCAGTTTTAAAGTCCAGTATATGACAGGTCCTATCAACCTGAATCCAGAGTTGGGCACTTAGTGGTTATATAATCTTAATCTCTCAGCCTTAGCCTCATTACCTGTAAAATGGTAACAACTGTACTAAGGGACTTGCACATGCAAGTGCTCTATCACTGAGCAATACCCACAGTATTTTTTATTATTAATTTTGTGTATGAGTGTTTTGCTGCATGTATTTCTATGTACCACTTCCATGCTTGGTGCCTGTGAAGGGTTTAAGTGTATATCAGATCTGCTGGAAATGAAATGACAGACATTTGTGAGCCACCATTTAGGTGAGCCAGTGCTCTTAACCAACTGCTGAACCATCTCTCCAGTTCCCACAGCTTTTTTTTTTTTTTTTTTTTACTTTTTGAGATATAGTCTCACTAAACTGCCCTCCCCTTAGGCCCACTCCATGGCTTGGAACTTTCCAGCTTCCAAAGTAGTTGGGATTACAGGCCTGTGGTTTTATAAGTGCCTCGAATATAGCAATCCTTCAACCTTGTTATTACTATTGATTAAACAGGGACTTGTTATGCAGCCCTGGCTGGCCTTGAACTCACAGGAATCAGTACACCTTTACTTCCCAAGTACTTTCTGGGATTAAAGTTGTGCACCACCACACCTGACTTAGTTCGTGTGTGTGTGTAAGTCAGAGGATAACTTTCAGACGTTGGTTCTCTCCTTCTGCCATATGAGTTCTAAGGATCAAACACGAATCATAAAGCTTGGTTTATTGACCCTTTACCCACTAAGTTGTTCTGTAAACCATATGGTGCTGAATTATGTTCTGATTTTGTGTATGAAAAGTGGAAACGGAGTCTACCACTAAAGCTAAGCCTCGCCCCAAGGGTTCTAAGAGCTAAAGCTGAGATACGATGGCTCACAGCTACATTCTCGGGACTCAGGGGGCAGAGGCGGTGAGAGTGATGTCAGTATGGCCGACACGGGATGTGAAGGGCAGTGCAAGTCCATCGGAGACTCACGTACACGATTACAGCATTTAAAAAGGCTTATAAATAATAATCACTGACAGTTACTGACTAAACACACACACACAAAAGAACTTGGAATTCCAGGTCACGATACTTGAATTCCAGTCTGTAAGAATGGCAGGTCAGGGGCATGGAGCTCAGTGGAGGATACTGTTAAATAAACGAGGGAGGGCAACGTCCCTGTCAACGTTCAACAGCAATGCCTGGTGCTCGCGCTTCGTCGCTCGGTCCTAGCTTTTGTCGAGCTGAGGAAACTGTCGCTCTGTTCCCTCTGTCTCCAGGGGCAGCGGCGCTCACCTGGCGCCGGACGAAGAAGGTCGCCGAAGGGTTCATGGGCGATGCCCCCGCCCCCAGAGAGAGTCGGTGCCAGCAGCGCGTCACCTCGGAAACGCCATTGGCGCCGGGTCGCACCGGGGCGGGCAAGCCCGCAGCCCCGGACGCCGCGCCCTCGCGACCACGCATGCGCACACAAACCGCCAGCCCGCGCTGAGGCGTCGCGCAGGTGGACGCCTCAAGTCTCGCGAGAACGCGAACCTGCTTTCCCACACTGGAAGGCTCCGGAGCCACACGAAGCGCCCCAGAGAAGCGTTCCGGCGCTAAAGACCGTGAACTGTCTTTTCTAGGCCCAGTGGCCCTGGTTCCCTCGCTTTCTGGCTTAACTAGAGGGATAATCGCTCCGGCAGACAGGACGAAAGATCACTCAGGACAGAAGCATCTGTCAATCATCTTTTAATAGTGATGAGAACCGTGACATTTTATATCAACATTTCCCACATTATTGCTGGGTCCTGAGTCTGAGGTAAAAAGATCGGAGACCTAGGAAGACCCTGGGATTTTACGTGTGTGCACCCTGCACCTGTGCTGAGGTGAGGACAGTTCCAGTCAGTCTCTTCCAGAAGACCTTCAACAAACCTTTGAGGCAGCTCCACTAATTTCACCAGACACATCCTTCTGCCTGCCTCCCAGCATTAAAAATGCACGTAACAGATACACCCCCCCCCCCCGTTTTAAGAGTGTTGGGGGTCGGGGGAAAGGAAAACAGAATGACCCTGGACCCTAAAAGCCATTTCCACTCAGGCCAGACCACCTGAGTGTCATCTTAGAAGCTTACAGTGAAAGAAGAGAATTCATAGTTGTTTATTTTTTGAGTCCGGGTCTCTCCGTAGCTTTGGAGCCTATCCTGGAACTAGCTCTTGTAAACCAGGCTGGCCTCGAACTCACAGAGATCCGCCTGCCTTTGCCTTTGTCTCCCGAGTGCTGGGATTAAAGGCGCGTACCCCCACCGCCCGGCCATAGTTGTTCCCTTTATCTCTCTGGCACACTGGAACACTCACACATCCAAAATAATAATAGGTTAAAAACTACCTGCGTGCTGGGGATCAAATTCCTGTCCTCATCACTGTGAAGCAAACACTTTATTACATACATACACACCAAAGAAAAATATAACATTAAAAAAAAGTGACAAAGTCAATCTTTGAACTGTTGAGGTACATTGAATTTCAAGTCACAGGAAAACATTCATTTTATCAGTAAGGGCATTTTAATTCTTCATTTTCTGGCAGTAACATCTGCTGATAGCTATAGAAGGACCGAAAATGCACTTTTCAAAAACCGTTTGGGAGCTGGAAAGACGGCCCAAGTGGTTATGAGTGCTTGCTCCCCTAGCAGAGGCCTCAAGTTCCATACCAAGCATGCAAATGAGCAGCTCACAGCCACCTATAACTCCAGTTCCAGGGACCCCTACAGGTTCTTCTGGCCTCTTGGGTACTGAACCCTGGGGGGGGGGCATATCTCCCCGCCTTTTTAAAATTAGATCTGTGGACATTAACGTGCCTTTTCCATGAACATTATGTGTACATACATGGGGATCTTAGAGCACCAAGAAAAATACCAACAGAACATTCACCAAACAGCCATGACCAGTACATTTGCTTTGCCAAGTAAGGAGTACTTGACAAAATACAGTTAGTAAAGAATTTTGCTTTTAAGCTAACATCTTAATTATGCATTTGTTTCTAAGACTTTTTTTCTAAACACCCTTTCAGAACTGAAGAGATGGTTCAGCAGTTAAATGCACTGGCTGTTCTTCCAAAGGATCTGGGTTCAATTCCAGCAACCGCATGGCAGCTAAAACTGTCTGTAACTCCAGTTCTGGAGTACTCAACACCTTTATACAGATACACATGCAGGCAAAACACCAATGCACATAAATAAAGAAAAATAAAAAAAAAACACCCTTTCATTCAAGAATATATTTGTATAATTGACAATTTCATGAATTCTAAATTCTTGAAGTATCTATACAGCTTTTGTTTGTGACACCACGGGTTGAATGTAAGGGCCTTGTGCATGCTGGGCAAGCACTTGTACTGCCCAGCCATAAATATTCTCATTCCTGTAGCCTGTTCACATGTGACACCTGACTTCCAATGTTTCATTTCACCCAGTGCATTCATTAAAACGATCAGTTTCTCCATAAGTTAGTTTAATTGCTATTTCTAAAACTGTAGACTGAGAACAGATATATTCCGTTTTTAATTGGTTAGAATTTTACTCATGTGGTATATAACTAGAACAAGAATTTCCAGCCTCTCTGAGCATCCTTCCACTCGTAACAAAAACGAATGTCTACAACAAATTTGTGGTCTGACCCTACTCAACATTACCGAGCAGATTTCTAATATTCCTGGGAAAAGCTTTTTCAAATATATAGTATCCTACCACAAGATACACCAGCATTTAACAGTTCTGTATTCATGAACTCTAACATCATCAGTAACATTATGAATGGCACCATTGGCCCTTAAGACAGTGCAGAAGGGGCTTACTGGGTCACAGTGTACATGGTTTTAAGGCTTTTAATGTACTTTAGCAAGTAATCTCCTGAATGACTTGAGCAAACCTACCCACTCTGTTGCTCATTATATCAAAACAGTGGACTTTGACATTAATGAAGGAACTAAGCCAACCAAAGCCCCATTGGATTCTCACCAACCAAGGACACACTTCTAGTAAGTAAATGAAAAACAGATTCTTTTGAAAAGTCACTCAGCTTTCTCCCAGTAAGATAACCAACAGAAACACTTCCTGAAAAAAAAAAAAGAGAAGGTTTTGGTGTCAAGAGTCTAGTTCAGTGGCAATGTTTTTCCAGCACGCACAAGGCCCTGGGTCCCATTAACAGCACCAATAAGAAGGAAAGAGGCTACAGTGTTTTTCTAAAATAAAAAGTTAAAAAAAGAAAATTCAGTACCAAATAACCAAAATGTTTTATTTGACTAAATTCAGATTCATGCATAAGCATGACAGTCTCTCTCTCTCTCTCTCTATCAGACTTTGGCAATTAAAAAACAAAACAAAACAAAAAAACAAAAACCATAAACAAACCAAGCAGCCTTGTACAGAACGAGAACGCCAAAGATGAGGAGTCTACAGTTTTACTGTAGGACACATATGTACACATATATACATATGTATATATTTCTGAAAGGCCGTGTCAACTCTCAGGTCAGCTCAGACACACATGACTCCAGAATCACTTCTTCACTTCTCCAAGGTCTTCGATGCTGTCATCATCCACCTGTAAGACACAGATAAAAGAAGTTTATGAATTGTGGCAAAAATTAAGAAAGAAAGAAAGTGATTTGCTTTAAAAACTTGTTTCTACAAGTGTATACATCCTGTGCACTTACCTCTGGCCACTTTTCCTGAATGACATCAATTATGTCATCTGTGAAGTCTCCCTGAATGATGATCTCATCCTCCCCTGTTACTGAGGCACCGCAGGAGAATTTTTGAGCAAAAAATCTTTGTGCTTCTTTGAGATCAATTTCTGTTTTGGTTTGTTTTTTAGAAAAAAAAAAGGGGGGGCAAGACCACAATTGGAATTATATAACAAAGATCTCCTTCATTTTGAAATTTCATCTGCATTTTAAAATCATTTAACAAGTGGTATTAATTATTTTTTTCCAGAACAATGACTAAAACTATTATAGGCAGAGCTCTTAACATGTATTTTCAAGGTCATATATTCTCAATATTGCAAACAGCATCCTCCACACTACTCCACCACACAGTAAGACTAAAATGGCTAGAGCGATAACACACATTTTAATCCCAGCACTCAGAGGGCAGAGGCAGGTAGATCTGTTAGTTCCTGGCCAGCCTAGTCTACAACATGAGTTCCAGGGCAGCAAGGCGAAGAGAGAGACCCTGTCTAACAAAACAAAAAAATCCAAAATGAAACCAGGAACATATTACTTTCAAGCATCACAGTTATCCATGCTTAAGTTCTATATAATAGAAAAACAGAGAACGGAGAACCAAACCTTTATACCTAAGCACCCCCCCCCCTTTTTTTTTTTTGCTTATTGAGACAGGGAGTTGCTACAGAGCCCTACTAGCCTTGAACTTGAATTCCTCTAGTCTTAGTTTCTGTGGTGGTTTGAGTAGGAATGGCCCCCACAGACTCATGTGTTTGAATGCTTGGCCCACAGGGAGTATGTATAACCTTGTTGGAGGAAATGTGTCACTGTGGAGGCAGGCTTGGAGATCTTATATGCTCAGGCTATACCCCGGATGATACACAGTGTCTCCGGCTGCCTGCGGATCAAGATGTAGAACTCTCAGCTAGCTCTCTAGCACCATGTCTGTCTGCACACTGCCATGCTTCATCATGATGATGGACTAAACCTCTAAAAAAGTAAGCCAGCCCCAATTAAAGGTTTCCTTTTATAAGAGTTGCTGTGGTCATGGTGTCTCTTCATAACAATAGAAACCTAAGACATTTCACAAGTGGCAGGATTATAGGTATGTGCCAACTTAACAGGTTAAATCTTAATAGAATTCTGGAGACACAGGAGCAGCCTTAGCCACTTTTAAGTCCTACCTAGTCCTCTTCATTCTATACAAATATATTCAACAGCAATTCCTCAAGAGCTGGCAGTGGTACATACCTGCAACCCCAGATACTTAGGAGGCAAAGCAGTAGTTTGAGAAGAGCCAAGGTTACACAGCAAGATAGCATTCTCAAAAACAAAAAGCCAGCAAACAAAACCAGGCAAAATTACCAGATAGGAAAAAAAAAAAAAGTGTGCTAGACTTTTAGATAGTAATTCTGAAACTATAGTTAGAAATTCAAAACCTAGGGCTGAGGATTAGCTCAGTAGGAAGAGTCGTTGCCTGGCATCTTGGAGGCCCTCATTTCACTCTCCAGCCGCAGCAGCTAGATCACAACAGCTAGGCAGGCAGCTCACTCCTATAAATCAGTACTTGGGAGGTGGAAGCTGGAGGATCAGAAGCTCAAGGTCACTCTTCTCTTTCAACACTAGCTGAGCCAGCTTAAGATGAAGAAGCCTCACCCAGTTTTTTTTCTTTTCTTGAGCAAAGGTTCACTATGTATCCCTGGCTGACCTAGAACTACCTATGTAAACCAGACTGGAATATGCCTGTTTCTGCCTCCTGAGTGCTGGAATTAAAGGGTATACCATCCCATCTGGCAAGCAACCCTGCCTTTAAGGAAAACAGCAAGAAAAAAGAAAAGGAAGGAAGGCAGGCAGGCAGGCTCGTGTGCTGAACATGGCACATGTCTGTAACCTCAACATCTAGAAAACAAGATGGGTGGACTGCCTGAACTACAAAGGAAGTTCCAGCTTAGCGTAGGCTAGAGAGCATCACCTTATAGTGTGCCTCTACCCCCCCCACCTCCAAAAAAAAAATTCAGAAAAGGGACCAGAAAGACAGGCGTGTCTCAGTGATTAAGAGCACTGGCTGCTCTTGTAGAGGCTTTGAGTCCAATTCCCAGCACTCCCATATGATGGCTCACAACCGGTGACTCTAGCCCCAGGAAATCCAGCATTCTCTTCTATGGGAACCAGGAAGACGTGGTACACAGACATACATGCAGGTAAAACACCCAATACACATAAAATTAAAAAAAAAGAAAAAAAGTACTGGCTGGTCTTCCAGAGGTCCTGAATTCAATTTCCAGCAACCACATGGTGGTTCACAGCCATCTGTAATGAGAACTGGCTCCCTCTTCTAGCCTGCATGCATACATGCAGGCAGAATGCTGTATACATAATAAACAAATCCTCAAAAATAAATAAATAAATAAATAAATAAATAAATAAATAAATAAATAAAAAACAGAAAGGCAAAAACCTCTTTTAGTATATTCTTGGCATGAACAAATATATGGAAGCAGGGATGCAACTTCCCCAACACCTTATAAAAACACCCGAACAGAACTTCATGATACAAATAAATAGACTCTGGTTTATATATTTTCTTTGTAAACAAAGAAACAAACAAACCTCAACTCACCAAATGTTGCAAGGCCACACACTCTTGTCACGTATTTCTTCTTCGCTCTAGGAATTTTGGCTATTGTGACCTTCTGTGGTACTGTCTTCTTCTTCTGTTTTATTTGACCTCTTCCCCCTTCATTAAGAAAGAGCTCACATCAATTGCTTCCTTTTCCACAATTGTAAACATACATACTGAGTCTTTCACTGTGTGTTCGAGTTCCTTTTCTAAATACAAATCACACAGGCTATTTACTTAGCAACACTCACCAATTAGTACTTACTACGTGCCCAGGACTGCACAAAGACCCGAGGGTGCACAGATAACCAGGACACAGTTCCCACCCTACAGGAACTCACAATCCACTAAGATGAGTGGTGGGGGGAGGTGTTAAAGCAGACATGGGTACAGGCCTACAGTGAGAGATCAAGGTCAAGTCCGGCCTGGCCTACTTAGTCTGAGGGGCCCGAGATGTGTCATCAAGGACAGATGCTTGCTGCCAAGCCTGAATTCAATCCCCAGAACCCACATGATGCAAGGAAAGAACTGGCTCCTGCAAACTGTCCTCTGACCTCCACATGCAGCAAATATTTTTTGTTTTTTTCAAGACAGGATTTCTGTGTGTAGTCTAGCTGTCCTGGAACTCAAAGGTCTACCTGCTTCTGCGTTCTGAGAGCTAAGATTAGAAGTGTGCCACCACTGCCTAGCACAGTGAATGAATGAATGAATGCATGAATGAATGAATGACAGAAAATGTTTCCTAAAGGAAGTGACCTCTAGGGTGAGTTTAAAGAACAGAAGAGTGTTCAGGGGAAGACAAATGGCTTCAGTTCAAGAGAAAATACACTGAATTTGGAAAGCACGCTTGTCTTATTGAAGAATACTTATGGGTATGCAGTACAGGAAGTCAGAAGTCAGTAAGAACTGGATCCAAGTTCAGGTGTGACTACACTGGACAAAGAGAAGTCACTGAAGACAGAAAGAATGAAAGAACAGATTCATGGTTATGAAGTTCAGGTCAGCTCTAGGGTGAAGGGTGGATTTATGAAGAGTAAGATGGAAAGAGAGGCAAATGAAGTTCCTGTATTCACTCCAACAAAAACTAGTCAAAATATAAACCAAAATGTAGCAAGCAGCTGAAGAGAAAAGTGCAGGGGAAGAGAAACGACAGATTTTAGGATAATTAACGGGAGCAGAGCCTGACACAGTCCTCAGGTTTCCAGCTGAGGTGCTAGGATAATTGTGCAATCTCTACCAAAATGGGAGAAATAAAAGATAATTCATGACTCAGTCAATTTAACTTTGGAAGTGCTTCATTTGTGGTATCTGTGGGGGCCATGCACATTTTCAGCCTGTCATGTGCCAGGCATAGACATACAGATTTAGGAAATACAGATATATAGTAGTGTAGCAGATACAACAGAAACATCCTGGGAGAATGAACAGAATGTAGGAAGACCTGGGACAGAGCCTGGGAAGTTAATTCAAAGGGACACCAGAAAGAAGAGGGGTCTATACAAACAGGAAAATCAAGGAAATTCACACTTCAGAAAGGTTTAGGTGTTCTTTTTTTCTTTTGGTTTTTCAAGACAGGGTTTATTCGTTGTAGCCCTGGCTGTCTTGGAACTGACTCTGTAGACCTCTGCCTCAAACTCAGGCCTTCCTCTGCCTCCTGAGTGCTAGGATTAAAAGCGTGTGCCACCACTGCCCAACTTTCACATGTTCTTTCTACTTAGCAGATACCAAAAAACTGGTGACTTTTATTAGAACAGTTTCAGTAAAGACAGGCTGGAGTGAGCAGTAACAGACATGAGGCTGGGAGGTCAGTCCACTTTAGTAAAGGCACCTGGATAAGAACTGGTGAGAAACGAAAGTAAGATAGCAACAGACCTTAGCAGAGACCTCTCTTAAGTAGCATGTGTAAGGCCTTGGGTTCAGTGTCCAGCACTGGGGGGGGGAAACGGTGGTAGGGCTGGGGGTCATGGCAAAAATCTTTAAAGCTGGGGCTGAAAAAATGGCTCAGCAGTTAAACACATTTGCAGTCTTTAAAGATGACATGAGTTTGGTTCCCAGCATCCACATGCCTACTAATAACTACCTGTAACTCCAGTTCCAGAGATCTAACCCCTATTGTCTATCTTCCATGGGCAATGAATCCACAGAGTGCATGCATACAGGCAAAACACCCATACATAGATAATCAAAATAAATTATAAGATAATTTTAGTAACAAAACAATCAATGAGGAAGAGATGGGTAGGGGATAGGTGCCATAGCATAAAGAATCTGTTTTGGGCAGGCAGTCATGGTGCATGCCTGTAATCCTAGCACTCAGGAGGCAGAGGCGAGTAGATTTCTGTGAGTTCAAGGCCAGTCTGGTCTACGAGGCAAGTTCTAGGGCAGCCAGAGCTGTTACACAGAGAAAACCTGTCTCAAAAAACAAAACAACAAAAACAAAAGCATAAAAAAAAAATCTGTTTTAGAGAGGAAAGAACTAAGTGCAAGCAACAGCTCATTCCACTTCAACAGAAAGGAATGTTCAGCAGGCTGGTTGTGTCTTAAAGGCACATTAAGATAAACATACATATATTTTCAATCCTTTTTGTTTGTTTTTCCTTTTGAGACAGGGTCTCTGTATGTACACTGGCTATCCTGAACTCACAGAGATCCATCTGTCTCTGCCTCCCAAGTGCTGGGAATAAAGGTGCTCACCACCGGGACCAGCTGGATTTGGCTTTTTGAGACAAGGTCCTAATTATGTACCTCAGGCTGGCCTTGAATTCCCAGCAGTTCTCTGGCTTTAATCTCTCAATACTAAGATTACAAACATTAACAGGCGGAAGCTCTCATCACTCCAGTTATCCTCTACAGGAAGGAAGGTATGTCTATAGAAATCAAACGTGGATTAGGTCTTACCTCTCTTTTGTTTTTTCTTCTCCTCCTCTTCCCCTACTGTCCCTTGACCTTCACTAATGCCAGCTTCTTGTTTGGGTGAATTTTCTAAACAGAAAAATAAAATGCAAGAGCACGAACAGCATTTTTATTAATACTGTAAAGAGAAATCATCTGCTGAGGATGTGGCTCAGGCTAAAGAGTGTCACCTGAGTGCACAAAGCCCTGGGTTGTTTCCACTTCAATTCCAGTACTAAGGTAAGGGCAAGGGGATCAGAAGTGGAAGGTCAGGATTTTTCGGCTTTGCAGAGGGTTTCCTTCTCTGTGTGTCCACTGATGTGTTTCCTCACCCCCCAATAAACACTGTTCTTCAACTGCCGATTGTCTGAGGTGCTTGAGATTTCTCTGCTGGTACCTGATTTTTCCTATCTTTTAATTATTTAACCTACAGAAAGAAACCTGATCAAAACCCCCTAGACTATCATTTGGGGGAGGGGGCTTGTCTCATATTTCTTTTGAGAACCACTGACAGTGGTACTTCTTACTGGTAAGACACTGCCAATAGGCCTGCTACAGTATTTTAATGTTACTGGTACACAGTCCAGCCAGCTACAAAACTAAGCCTTGTCTTATTAAACAAAACTTATATTGCCAGGCAGTGGTGGCACACACCTTTAATCCCAGCACTCAAGAGACAGAGGCAGGAGGATCTCTGTGTGTTCAAGGCAAGCCAGGTCTACAAAGTGAAATCTAAGCCAGAGCTACACAGAGAAACCCTGCCTCAAAAAACAAAGCAAAAACAAAAAAACAAATCTTATGTTAACCACAATGCCAAAACCTCTTACTCATTAACCTTGTGTCTTAATGTTCCCTGTGAGGTACAGAAAAGAAACTCAAAGACTGACTTATAAGCTTAAACTGGCTTTTGTTTGTTTTGCCTTTTGGAGGCAGGGCTTCTCGGGATCCACTTGCTTCTGCCTCCAGAGAGCTAGGATTACAGGTGCCACCACCATGCCTAGTTTACTCCTTTTGTAACCATTTGTTTGTTTGTTTATTATTTTCTAAGGCAGGGTTTCTCTGTGAAACAGTCCTGGCTGTCTTAGAACTCACTCTGTAGGCCAGGTTGGCCTCAAACTCATAGAGATGGGATTAAAGGCCTGCATCACCACCACCTAGCTTTTATTTTTATTTATTTTTTTACTCCTTGAACTCTTAGGCCTCCTCGACAGTGCACATCTACACCGGTAGACAATGGTGGCAGAGAAATCATCAGTCTCATCGCCACCTGAAACAGAGCCTGTCAAGGGCTCCTTACATGGTTTTATCTGCTCTCTTCCTTTACTAGGGTAAAACTGCCCCAGCTATTTTTCCAACTACACTCTCAGTGGGAATTATAACACTAACAGCCTCACATTTTGTTCTAGATGCTACCTGATTAGTATGCCAAGCCTCGAAGATACACACCATCAACAAATGGCTGTCTTATGCTCTAGATCACTGCCACTGGTTAAGTTTTGTGGTTCCTTAGACAGACTTCCCTATGAGGGACTCTGACTGCTGCCCCCACCGTCCTCCCTGAGTCCCCTAAGAGTAGTTAGGTGACCTTTGAGAGGAAGGGATGGGAAATTAGGAGTTAGGCAGACTCATGGTAGACAGACAAAGAAGAGAGGCCATAGCTGGGTAATAAAGGCAGCGAATTCCCAAGATGGCCAGCTTCCTCCTCACCCTCCACACTTGATACAAAAGCCCAGAAGCTTAAAACAAAGGCTTTGTAGGTCCCAGTCTCCCACCAGCAGGCCTCTGCGGATGGACTAGCAGACAAGTTCAAGATCTGCTCAAATGAGTCACACAACAGTTCTGGGCCAACCAACCATCCATGCCTTCTTCAAATTGACTAACCCTACATTAGGGGAAGAAAATTCTTCAAAGGCTTTAAAACCCCGAAAGAGTTCCCCTCTGCTTTGCTGAGGTCTTTTTCTTTCTCTGTGTCTCTATTGCTTTTGTAGGTTTCCTCCTCCCTCCCCGCCCCCCCCAACCCCTTTCAACTGTTTAAAACAAAAGGGTAGGGTGGTAAAACAAAAAGTGGAGTTCAAGGTCATCGTTTGAGGCCAGCCTGGGCCACAGGAGATCTGTCTCAAACAAAACAACCAGGGCTGCTGAGGTGACTCAATGGGTAAGGCATTGCTCCAAAGCTTAACCACCTGAGTTTGTGGAATGGTGGCGAGCACAGCTCCCACAAGTTGTCCTCTGAAACACACACAATTTCGCAAGTAAATAAAGCAACCTATACTAGCTTAGTATCTATAAAGCAAATAACTATACTGCACTCTAATGAAACCGAACTCTAAATGTACTACAGTAAATCTGTAGTCTGGCTATGTACCCTCCAAAGGCTCAGGAGTTAAAGACAGTCCCCAAGAAGGTGTCACTGTTTTAAAGGATAGGCACAGGAGGAGGGTTTAAAGTGAGAAGTGCCAAGGTCTAGAAGGAGACAGTCATTAGAGGTTTCAATTTGGAGACAATGGGACCTAGTCCCTTCCTCTTTTTCACTTCCCAGTCAGTACAGGCCTAGAGCAAGAGAGTCACAGTGATAGACTAAGAGCTGTTTGAACTCAGAGATCCATCTGCCCCTGCCTCCTGAGTGCCAGGCTTAAAAGCATACACTACTACTGCTCAGTGGACTAAAAAAGAACTATGGGCCAAATTAACCTTTTTAAGTTTATTACTTTAGGTATCTGCTATAGTGATGGTAATAGAGAACAAAATGTTTAGGATTTTATTCTATCTTTCTATCTATCTATCCACCATCCATCCATCCAATTTATTTATGCTTCAAACACAGAGATCCATTTGCCTCCAAGTGCTAGAATTAGAGTTGAGCGCCACTTCACATGGTTGAGGATCTCCACCCCCAGATAGGGTTTCTCTGTATATAGCTCTGGCTATACTGGAACTTACTCTGTAGACCAGGCTGGCCTCGAACTCACAGAGACCCATCTGCCTCTGTTTCCTGAGTGCTGGGATTAAAGGTGTGAGCCACCACCCCAGCAAGGATTTTGTTTTTTAAAACAGCACTTTGGTAGGAGGATCAGGCCAGCCTGGGCTACCTAGTGAAACTGTGTCTCATAACAAAACAGGGGCTAGAAAGATGGCTCAGATTAAGAGCATTTGCCGCTCTTGCAAAGTAACTGAGTTTGGTTCCCAACACCCACATCAGGTGGCTCCTCTGTGAATAACAGTTCCAAGGGGATATGACACCTCTGGCCTCCTCAGACACCTGCACACAAGCGTACATACACCTAATTTAAAAATAATAGCTAAAACACACACACACACACACACACACACACAAAACAAAAGGGGAAGCCAGGTGTAACAGTGCAAACCTTTAATACCAACACTCTAAAGCAGGCAGATCTCTTGAGTTCCAGGACAACCAGAGCTATATGCTGAGACCTTGTCTCAAAAACCAAAACCAAAACACAAAACAAACACCCCACAAGCCCCTGCCTCAGCCATGCATCACTATGCCCAGCTCACAAACTATGACTTTTTACCACATGAAAGGGAAGCAAAACACTCAGATCAAGAAAATTTCTTGCCGGGTGGTGGTGGCGCACGCCTTTAATCCCAGCACTCTGGAGGCAGAGGCAGGCAGATCTCTGTAAATTCGAGACCAGCCTGGTCTACAGAGCTAGTTCCAGGACAGGCTCCAAAGCTACAGAGAAACCCTGTCTCGAAAGAGAGAAAAAAAAAAAAAAAAAAAGAAAAAAGAAAAGAAAATTTCTTATGGGGCTGTAGAGGTGGCTTAGCAGGCAAGGGCACTTGCTACTCTTGCAGAGGACCTGGGTTCAATTCCCACCATCCACGTGGCAGCTTACAATGATCTGTAACTCCAGCTACAGGGGATCCTACACCCTCTTCCTGCCTCCACTAGACATGCATGTGGTGCACAAACATACATGCAGGCAAAACACCCACACATAAAGTAAAAATAAATAGAATCTGAAAAAAAAAATGATAAAAGGAAAAAAAGAAACTATATAAATCTGGTTTTGTTTTTTGAAATTTACCAAGTTCTGGTCAGCCAGAGTTAAATGATGTGATTGTCTCAAAAACTAAACAAAAAGAACCTGTATCTTTAGGACAGAAACCAAAGTAAAACACAAACAGCTTGTTATTAAACATGACAGCTGGGGAAGGCTCAGCCATCCCTCATCCCAGCAGCATCTTCCTACTCCTTGGAGGAACCGCTCTGTACAACTGTCCTTCCTTCTACTCATCAGACAAGAAGGCACTCCCAGAACCGACCAACCCGATTTACTTCATGGGATGAGACACGCTTCTCCTGGTCCCCTCTCAAGTCAATCATGTCTAGGCAAGTCATGCTCAGGGACAAAATGGAGGCGCCAATCCCAAGGCCAGCCTTTAAGTGTTCTTTCCCAACAAAGAGCGACTAAGTAGTTACTATCTCTGAAGACAAGAGTACTGCCTCATGTAAATAATATAAAAATGGAGCAGCAAAGATAGGGACAACATGGGATGTACTGGGATGGAATAGGCCTGTTTCAAGCCATCTTTTCCTTGTTCCCACTACTGTCTTTTTTCTACAAACCTTGCAAGAGAAGCCATCAACAAAGCTAAGAGATCTGTTCCCTGTCTGTGACACCCCAGCACCACCAATCCCACTCTTTGAGCCCTAGATGCCCCTCTTCCTCACACCTCACATCCACCATTCTGTTCTACACAGCCTCACCCTCTAACCAGCTCTCCCCAGCCTCCGCCCACTATTGCCATTCTCAACCAAGTTGCTGTCATCATTGCCTTTGCTGTCATCATCCTTGAGACAAGATCTCACTAAATTACCCTGGCTAATCTTCAACTCTCTTGTCTCTGAACTTAAATAATTTTAAAGTTAACCAAGATGGGTGAAAGGACTTTCCTATCCTTTTCTATTAAGACTAGGAACTGATCCAGGGCCCCGCACATGCTAAGCAAGCACCCTACCATCGAGCTACACCCACAACTCTAAGAGACAGAGTCTCCTAAGCTGCCCAGGCTGGCCTTGACATCACTATCTAACCTCAGACCACCACACAACCGGGACAGTAGGCCTTCGCCACCAGATCCAGCCAAACTTTCCTGTTTAAAATGCCACATGTGTATTTATTTCGTAAATACAATTTTAATAAAATAAAAACCCATGTTCAAAAAAGGAAAAAGTCCATACCTACAGTCAGTTTTGCAAATTCATTTGGAAAATTTTTCTCTAGCCATTGTCTACACTTAGCAACATCAGGCATATATTCACAGTACTAGAAGGAAGGAAAAGAACAAATTGAGTGAGAATCATGCATTTCAAACAATATAATTAAAACATCCCCATGTACTTCATAGGTAAAGAATGATAAACTACACACACACACACACACACACACACACACACTTTCTATCTCACTATGTAGTCAGGGAAGTCTCTTAAATCTAAATCAGAGTACTAGAATTACAAGTCACCATGCTCAGCCTCGCCTGACCATCCACAGGAAATCTGTAATTCAAGTAGGAAATGTCTCTTAAGAAATGAAAACTCATCAGGCGATGCATGGCTTTAACCCCAGCACTGGGGAGACAGAGGCAGGTGGATCTCTGTGACTCTGAGACCAGCCTGGACAGCTAGGGCTACACAGAGAAACCCTGGGGGGAGGGGAAATGAAAACTCAGATCAGGACCTCCTCAGCATACTTCTCCATAAAGCAAAAGGGTCATTAGAAAGAGTGTAGCAGGGCTGGAGAGATGGCTCAGCAGTTAAGAGCATTGCCTGCTCTTCCAAAGGTCCTGAGTTCAATTCCCAGCAACCATCTGTAATGAGGTCTGGTGCCCTCTTCTGGCCTGCAGGCATACACACAGACAGAACATTGTATACATAATAAATAAATATTAAAAAAAAAAAGAGAGAGAGAGAGAGAGAGTATAGCAGCCAGGCAGTGGTGGCGCACACCTTTGATCCCAGAACTCGGGAGGCAGAGACAGGCAGATCTCTGTGAGTTCGAGGCCAGCCTGGTCTACTACAGAGTGAGCTCCAGTACAGGCTCTAAAGCTACACAGAGTCCATGTGCTGTCACCAAGCCTGACAACTTCAATTTGATTCTAGGAACCCACATGGTAGGAGAGAACTGACCCCTGCTCCTCTGCAAGTTGTCCTCTGGCCTCCACAAGTATACCACGGAACATATTGCACACTTGCACACACACACACACACATTTAAAAAACTTATTCTGATCCAAAGTTCTATATAAAAGGTTGATAGGAAATGAAAGGATAGAAGTTCCCAGATTAACTCTAAAATCAAGAGTGATCTCACATGCAGAAAGAGAACAATAACAAAAAAAACTAACAAGTAGGACTTACCTCTGTTGGTAATGAACAAACTAGAGAAATGGAGAGAAAAAAAGATGTGAAATGTTAAAACCATGACAACACAGGAGCCTCATACTCTCTATCGGACGGAATACTTCCCTCTAGCCTTTCAGTTCTCTCCTTACGTGTCATCACTACTTTTCAATCGAATATTCTACTTGAGAGTTTTCCCTCTCCTAACACCCCAAGAATACTAAGTAACCACCAGGAAGCACACACTGGCTTCAAACTTCATGGTCTCTGGTCTCGCTGCCTCAGCCTCTTGGGTGCTGAGGTGAGTCGCCCTCCAGCTTGTCTGCCTTCACACGCTCCTGTGGCACTCAGTTTCAAATCCTACCCTGCAGAGATTTCTAAGGTCAAAGGTGCATGATTAATTACTTCAGATGACAGTACTCTGACATTTTGATCTAAAGGCAATTGTCAGTTGATGTAACAGCAAACCTTTCATATTTTATAACTTATCTATAAAGTGCCTGTCTTTCTTGAGATTTCTCAGGACAATTATATCTTACTCATCCTCTGAGTAAAACACAATGTGGCACAGAACAGAGCCTAAAACATGTTTTCTAAATAAATTCAAGCTGTTCTCTGAATCCCTGCTAAGTCTATAGCCAAGCGTCTATAGCCAAGCGATGAGCCCGGTCCTCTTGAGTTCAGGGGCTGGAGAGGTGGCTCAGCAGTTTAGCAAACCTGCTGCTCTTATCAAGAAGGCAATTTGGCTCCCAGCACCTACATCAGTGGTTCACAACCACCTGTAACTTTAGCTCCAGATTTGACTCTCTTCTGGCATTTGTGGGCACCCACAATGTGGCATAAACATACACAGGCTCATAAGTAAAAATAGAGAGAACTAAAGGGACAGACAGAGGCAGGGTGACACAACACTACTGCCCAGGCTGAGACTCCAAAGTCCCCAAGAACAGCTGGAACTACAGGTATATAACACTGTATCTCACTATGCTCTTCTAAACCAGTGGGTCTCAACTATGGCTCACGACCCTAAATGTGTCACCTAAGACCATTGGGAAACAAAACCTCTGTTCCAAACGCTCTTTAACTTTCGCTAAATCATACCATAGGCTGGTCACTATGCTTGCTTCCTCCAACTTTTAGTCCTGTGCTACATACCTTCTCACATAGCTTCTTTGCTCAAAAACCTTCAGTGACCTACAAGCAGTTACAAAACAAGGCCCCAAAATCTGGTCCAGACCCAATGGTCTTTAAATTTTCTGCTTCTACTTCCAAAATCCGCATTAACAAGCACACTGCAATACCTGCAAATTTACATTCCCCTCATTTCTTACCTCTCTTCCTGCTCTTTGGCCTGGCATAGCTGCCTGCAACACTACCTGCCTTTCAAATACCAACTGTGCTCGCCTCTATGTGGTCTCCCCCAGCTCTACAACTAGGAGAACCTCTCCCTTTCCGCACCGCTGTGACTGTTTCCCGAAGTGTATTTCTTGTCTCTGCTACTAATACACCTGTGTACACCCCTCCCCATCCAACACTCACCAACGGCTACCCAGTCTAAGTTACATGTAGCGAACAGGCAGAGCCTTGCTGTCTTTCAGGCCCCCCGACAATCTAGCCCAGCACCTTATCCAGACGTACTTTGTCAGTCGTGGACTTTCTTGCGCCAAGCCCATCATCATCATAACACACTGAGGTTAGACTCTAAATGCACCTTTTGGTAGCCTCTGCCTTACACATCTGGTTTACTAAGCCTGAGGCAACGGAAAACACAACTTATCTTTGACTCACACAAGCAATCAACACAAAAGTTGTTTCACAGAAAACCATCGTATAATAGCTATCACTGAAGGCTTAACCAGGGCACATTTCCTTGTCAACATCCTTATTTCACTCTTCACAAAGACCCCCCCTCCTCACCTCCTAATTTATAGTTGTTTTAGTGTTTTCTATTCCCTAAGTGAGTCTCTCCTACCATGTGAATCTCAAAGATTGAACTCAGGCCATCAGGCTTGGCAGCAAGCTCCTTTACAACTGAGTCCACCGACTCCCAAGTGTTTCTTATACATGTAGATCTTAAACTCCTTGGGGCTTAGAAGCACCTCTTCCCTAATATTTGCAATGCCCAGTACAAAAGCAAGGAGGGAACTGAAGAAAGTTAACTGTTCTCAGAACAGAATGATCTGGCAGATAGACACTTGCCGTCAAACAAAAACAAAAAGATCTTAAATTTTGTTAAATAGGTACTGCCAGGGCCTTACTATGTCACCCTGGTTGGCTTGGAACTCACTATGTAAAATAGGGTCAGGTTGGCTTGAACTTCTGGTGACCCTCTTGCCTCTGCCTCCTGTGTGGTAGGTAGTAGATGCTATGATTAGCTGTTTTTGTTTTGTTTTTTTTGAGACAGGGTTTCTGTGTAGCCCTGGCTGTCCTGAGTTGTCCTGCTTGTCTCCTGAGTGCTGGGATTAAAGTAGTACTCCAGCACCACCAGGCTTTTTTTGTTTTGTTTTGCTCTGAGAAGGGTCTTAGTCTATAGCTCATTTTGTAGCCCAAGCCAGCCTCAAACTTGCAACATCCTTCCTTTCTCCATCTCCCAAGTGAGCCTGAGTCACCATACCCTGCTTGATCTTTATTTATTATGTATGTACTTGCTATGTAGACCAAACCATTTTGCTTTATCTCCTGAGTACTGAGATTAGACGTGTGCTTATCTGCCTTAATGTCATCTTTTTTCTCACTTTACACATTAAGACACAAATCTCTCAACCTCACAGAAATGAGCTAACTTGCCCAGGGCCACACACCTAGGAAGTATTTAAGTCAGAAAGCACACTCTGGCCCATTACTCTATTACCAATATCATAACAAAACACATCAACTCTATATAATTTTTTCCGATTTTTCCTACGTCCCTTCCTTCCTTTCAAGTTTTAAGACAGGTTCAACACGGCCCAGACTGGCTGGAATTCTGCAATCGCCCTGACTACCTCTGCTGAGTGTGGGGAATACATGTGTATTCCTTCACATCAAATTTTAGAGGTCAGGACTCTCAGCAAGCACGCTACCCACTGATGGCCCCTCTGAGGAAGCCTGCAAACATGTCTGTCCTTTTCCTAAGCACCTCCCCCTACCTCCCTTAAAGCCTGCGCTTAGGATTTGCACTAAAACTGTTTCTTGCTTCTCACCATCTTCCCTGGGAAAATGACAAAGAGGATATGACATTGATGCAGTGGAGGCCCTGGCGTGGGAGGGCACAGGCACATCCTCTAGGGTCACGATGGGAGCCAGGACTAAGCCCACAGGGTGAAGACCAAAGGCAAGAGTGGATCCCTATCACCAAGTTGAGCCACCTGGTGAAGGACGTGACCAAGTGTCTAGAAAAGATCATTCTCCCAGCCCCTTCAGAAATCAGAACACTGACTTTCTCCTAGGGACATCTCTTAAGGATATAGGTACTGAGGCAGAAGCAAACTCACACTGGTTTGCAGACCAGATTCGAGGCATTTACTGCCCCTGGGGACTACAACAGCCACATTAATCTGGAGGTTAAGTGCTCCAAGGAAGTAGTCACTGCCATTCAAGGAGCCAAGCTTTCCACCCTGTGGGAGAGGTTACAGAGGGCACAAGAACGCCACACAAAGTGACGGGCTGCTGTAGCTGTGTACTGGCTAACCCATCTCCACTGGCAGACATTGACACCGTTGGTTCCTGGGTCCAAGAAGCTGGTACCACTGGCCAGTACTGATGAAGACCACTGCACTTCAGTCAGGGACAGCATGGCCACCTGGGCAACTTCCACCAAGGCCACCTCTGATACCCTCTCCAAGACCTACAGCTACCTGACCCTCTGAAAAGAGACTGTGTCCATTAAAATCTTCGTATCAGGAACTTACAGACTATCTTGTGAGAACTCAGACCAGAACCTCCATGCACATGACCCAGGATTCAACCATGGCTTTTTGTAGCTTCTCTACAAAAAGTCAATTAATCTTATTTTAAAAAAACAGTAATAATAACAATAATAAAAAGAACCAAACGTTGGGGGTTGGAGTGATAGTGCAGTGGTTAAGAGAGCTTACTGCTCCTACAGAAGACCCAGATTTGATTTCCAGCACCCACCTGGTTGCTCAGAACTACCTGTATGTAACTCTAGTTCCAAGATATCCAATGCCCTCTTCTGACCTCCATGGGCTCCTGCATACATGTGGTGCACATACATACACTCAGGCACATACACAAACCCATTTAAAACAAAAAAGTAGTTATGCATGGTGGCATATGCCTTTAATCCCAGCACTCTGAGCAGAGGCAGGAGGACCTCTAAGGTCCAGGCTAACCAAGGCTACCGAGTGAGACTGCCTCAGAAACAAATAAATCTGAAGAACAAGCGGATGAAGACTGGAGAAAAACGGGCTTAGGCTTTCCTTGGTGATGGGGGGGGGGGGGGAAACAACATAAAACAAACCTGTTTCTTACTCAACTCCAACTTCGTTGTATTAAAAAGTCTAGGTAAAGCTGGGCATGATAGTACACACCTTTAATCCCAGCACTAGGAATGAGAAGCAGGCAGATCTCTGAGATCGAGGCCAGCCTGGTGTACAGAGTGAGTTCCAGGCCAGTCAGAGCCACACAGAGAAACCCTGTCTTTAAAACAAAGTCTAAAGCTGTGGTGATGCCTTAGCCTTATTCAATAAAGTTCAATACAGTACTTGCGACATAAGCCTAAAGGCTGAGTCAGAATCCCCAGCAGCCCAGCATCCAGTTAAAGCCAGCAAAGCAGAGAACTACAGTCCCAATACTGGGGAGACAGAGGATCCCTAGTGCTTGTTAGCCACCCAGTCTAGCTCATGAGTGTCAGATTCACTGGGAGACCCTTTTCAAAGAAACATGGCGGACTGTGATTGAGGAAGTCACCCTCTGACCTCTGACATCACACATCCACATCTAAATATAAAAAAAATGTAATTATCCAAACCCGACTTTCCCAAGACTGTTCTACCACACAGCACTCTGAGCTCACCTCCTCCACTCCTTAACCAACACCCTCCCTGTACTATAATAATTCAAAGTTGCTGCTCAAGAAGTTCATGGGTAGGGCTGGAGAGATGGCTCAGTGGTTAAGAGCACTGCCTGCTCTTCCAAAGGTCCTGAGTTCAATTCCCAGCAACCACATGGTGGCTCACAACCATCTGTAATGAGGTCTGGTGCCCTCTTCTGGCCTGAAGGCATACATGTAGACAGACTATTGTATACATAATAAATAAATAAATAAATAAATAAATAAATAAATAAATAAATAAATATTTAAAAAANGTTCATGGGTAAAGGCATCTGAAGCCAAGCCGGAGGACCTTAGTTCAATCCCCAGGACCCACAAAGTAGACGGAACTAAGGTTCGCAAATGGTCCTCGACAGCCACACATGGGTCATGACACAGATGCACACACACAAATGAAATGAAAAAAAAAAAAAAAAAAAAGCTCAAGAGTCTAGCCAGCCATCAAGCTTCCCCAGCCCCTACTCAGCCCAGTACTGGGACTGAACCCAGAGGCTGTGAACTCTCTGGATCAGTGCTCTGCTGCTAAGCAACATCTCCAGGTCCTGCCTTTTCTTTCCCGACAGTTCGCTTCCTTTAGGATGCCCTTTCTCGCCTCTTCCATACTTCCCCATCCTTTAAGACTCCCTACCGTCCTAAAAGCTCTCCATAACAAAGTATATACATCCAACATCTGGTTGGGATACTCCATTGCACATCTCGATTCCAACTGGACTGTCACACCTCCAGGCCAGGAGGCAAGACCCAAATGGCACATGAAAAAGGAGTATCTGTTAACCTATATGTCCTCCCTAGGTTCCCTCCTCAATTAAGAATCGTCCAAACCACAGAGACAGATGCAGGAGTTAACAAGACCAAATCTGAAACTTGAACGTTAAACATAAAAACGGTGAGCAAGAGCCATTTCTGCCCTTCCAGCACTTGCCTCCACAATAAAGGACTCGAAGAGGGTAATCGGAATCTAACTTGGCACTGTTCCTCGTATCGCCTTTGCAATCAGTCCCACTGGATTCAGAAATGTCAGTAGCCATCTCATAAACCTGTAAGCAAAATAACACAACTTTACTATTTTGGAGCTGGATCCCCGAAAAGCAGCATTTGGGTGCAGTCTTGGCTTGTACTATGTATCCCTGCCCCCGGAAGCTGTTTCCAGTCTATTAAAAAGGACACAAGTTTCATTGGAGTCACAAAGTATGATCAGCTGTAAGCTTATCTACCTGCTCCACAGATCTATAGGGAAGCAAGAATAATTGGGCCATGAAGGCTGAGGGTTGGGGCGAGGGCAAAGGGGACACCAGAGGAAAAGAGGAAGCAGCTGGGGAAATAGATGGGGTGGGTGACTTCGACAGGGACGGGGCAGGTCTGAGGGTCAAATGGGAGGGATGCAAACTGCAGGAAAGGCTCCAGAGCATCTGCACGAGGAGGGCGAGTCACTCGAGGTGACCAGAATGCAAGGTGCGGCGACAGCAAAATACCAAGGGAGAGAGACCGAGCCAGGGACGAAGATGGGAGTGCCACGGCCTGGGGAGACAAAACTGGGACAGAAAGACCAGGAAAAGGGCAGGCAGCCCTTCGGGGGACGCTAAGGGGAGAGCCCGGGACGCCACAGGAGGCCCCCATGTGGGCGGGCGTGGAGACGCTCGGCCCGGCCCCCTTCCTCCAGGCAGCGCCGCGGCTGCCCCCATACGCTCGACCGGCTCCTCGGAAGCCGCAGAGGCGCGAGCGCTCGTTACCCAGCCGGTCGCACAGCCCCCGCCGCCTCCGCTCCCGCCAGCTGAAGCGACACATGCAAGTCCTCTCGCCCGACCAAAGCAGCCCCAAAGCCGTCTGGAGACACGCTCGCGCGAGACAATAGGCCTTTATCGCGAGATCCCGGCAGCCACTAGGCGGATGTCGCGAGAAGCCTGACGGCCGCGGGTGGGCGGGGCGAAGAGGGAGGCACATGCGCTCTGAGCTGGGCTGGAGGGAAGGGGATCGAGTGGCGTGGAGGCAGACGGCCAGTAGGAGGCGCTCGCTACCCATGGCGAGGATGAGCCAGCGCCTGGAGGATCCTGCGCAGTGGGGCGTGTACTGGACTGGAGGAGGGGCTCTTGAGTCACGGGTGACTCGCTGTGAATGGTGTGGGCAGCCTAGCCCCAGTGTCTGGGCTGCATCCTAGAGTCCCAACTACCCCCAATCTGATGGATAAGTCACTTCTCTGCGGAGAGATGGCGGCTGGAGGAGACACTGGGTTTCATTCCACTACTCTTCCCTAAATTGGAATTATTCTTGTATCGTATTAATTATTCTTGTATCGTATTAATTACTGTTTTAGTTTACCTCGCCAGGCTGACAACAATTTCCATATCTCGTCTTATACATGTCCTACGCTGGAATTTATGGATCCCATCTCAGGGTTTCTGGTTTTAACCACACACAGCCTTGCTTTGGTTTTGCTTCCTTGTTTTTATTTTGGGGAAACCCCTTCATCTGCATACTCAGCCCAAGGCCCACTCAGCGAGGCTGGATAGGAAGTTGCTCTTCCACATCACCTCCAGTGCCCGCATCCCTTTGCTTTTCTGTTTGCAGCTTACTTTGCATGGACTAAGCTATCCAAAACAGAGATTAATCCAGCGTGACCTCCCACAACGTTCTTTTGGTCCTGGGAATCGAACCCAAGGCTTTGTGAATGCTAGGCTAGTAGTCTGCCGCTAAGTTATAGCCGATTCCTCCCTAATAACGTTTTAAAAATAAATAAATACAAAGCATCCCCGCAGTTCATGATGCATATCTTTAATCCTAACGCCAAGGAGGCAGAGATCTTTGTGCGTTCCATACCTGGCATGGCTACCTGGTAAGACCCTGTCTTAAAAAATAAAATTAAGCCGACAGCGGTGGCGCACATATTCTAATCCCAGCACCCGGGATGCAGAGACAGGCAAATTTCTGTGAGTTCGAGACCAGCCTGGTCTACAAGAGCTAGTTAGCTAGTTCCAGAACAGGTTCCAAAGCTACAGAGATACCCTGTCTTGAAAAACCAAAAAAAAAAAAAAAAAAAAAAAATTAAGCTGGAAGTGATGGCATATGACCTTATTCTAGCACTTGGGAGGTAGAGGCATGTGAATCTCTGAGTTTGAGGCCAGTTTGGTTTACAAAGTCAGTTTCAGGACAGCCAGGGCTACACAGAGAAACCCTGTCTCAAAATAAATAAATAAACAAATAAACAAACAAATAAATAAATGGGACCACAGAGTTAAGAGCACTGTTTGTTTTCCAAGGCAAGGTTTCTCTGTGTAACAGAGATCCGCCTGCCTCTGCTTCCCAGGTGCTGAGATTAAAGGTGTGTGTCACCAGGCCCAGACTGCATTATAATCTTTTAGTATGTATGAGCATCAGGATGCCTGTTGTAAGCAGCTGTGATGTTCTTTAAAGGTTTATTTTAATGATGTGTATGTGTCTGTGTAGCGGTTCGTGCACATAAGTGCTGATGCCTGAGTTCAGAAGAGGGTGCTGGGATTTTGGGCATTTGTGTGGGCATCATGAGTGTTGGCGGCAGTCCAGGCTCCGGGAAGGGCAGCAAGCACTCTTAAGCCCCTGAGCCAATGCTCTAGCCCAGCCTTGAACTTCTGATCTTGCCTCCACCTCTCAAACGCTGGAACTACAGGTGTATGCTGCCGCCTCTGGTTTATGCAGGGCAGGCGAATCTCTGTGAGGTCCAGGCCAGCCTAGACAGTTCCAGGCCAGGTGGGACTTCATAGAGAGACACTGTCTCCAGAGGGGGGAGGGGAGGGGAGGGGAGGGGAGGGGAGGAGCGGGGGGGAGAGGAGAGGCACGAAGAGGACGGG